CGGCAGAAGCACATGGTTTAAATGGGCCTGTCGCAGGCAGTGGATGCTGGCTGAACCTCCTCAGGTTTGGACGTTCTGGGTGCTTTAGCCACAGAAAGCAAAGGATTTCTGGGTGACTTGGTGGGGGGTAGGAGAACTGAGGACCATCCTAGTAGGAAGACCTATGGGGTGACCAGCAAGGAGAGTAGCCAAAGGAAAGACCAAGGGGTAAACTATTGGATGGGGAGTACCAAAACTTTGTGTGCAACACACACACACACACACAGAGCCTCCCTGAGCTAGCATCCCTACTTGGTTGGTTCTGAAAGTCCTCTGGACTACAGTTAAAAAAAAAAAAAAACAGATGAGGCCCATCCTACTGACACACACCCCTCCCCCACTCCAAGAGGACTCTCAGACACCAAGGGAGGGTGACTTTCAGGCAAGTGAATATGACAGACAGCCACAGCAACATCCTGGGAAAGAGTCCCCAAAGGGAGAGGGTGTGGCACCTCCCTGCCTGGCTTCTCCTGCTGGCCTGCATTCAGATGGATTCTGTGAATGCTGGTGTTTTCTCGGAGTGACACCCTGTGTTATTTAAAGGCGGGCACTAAATTAAAGACACCCTCAGCAGCCTTCACAGAGACCACACCGTATGCACAGTACACACGAGGAAAACAGGTTCAATCCATTTATTTATCTTGTCACCAGGGCAAAGCACAGCTAGGACTCCGGACCTCTTATACCCAAATTCTGTGACACCTCACCCCCACCAATACCCCTCTATGTCCTGGGGCCCTGTGGCAGCGTATCTCTTGCAGTTACACAGTGCACTCTCGGCAGTCACTCCACTTCCTCTCCTGGTGCTCCCCCCAGAATACAGCTTGTGACTCCAGAGAGCTGGCCAAGGCTGAAGGGTGGCCTGGACCTGCCAGAATCCCCAGAGAAGCTGTGAGCGTAGCCAGACCACGGAGGAGAGATGGGGGCTCTTCCCCACACGTGCACATGTGTTGCTCTATTTTTAAGATTCCTCCTTGGAAGGCAGCAGGCTTTGGAACATGTGCAGCTTCCAAACTGTGAGATGGAGCAGACAGCTCAGCTCTTCAGAGCATCCGTGCTGCCTGTTCCCGTGTCTACCTGCATCGACATCCCACCTGCTCACAGCCCCATAGGACACCAATTAATAATGATAACACAACCCAGGTAGGGTATGTACACCTGCAATGCCAACACTTAAGAGGCTGCGGCAGCTAGATCCCAAGTTCAAGGCCAGCCTCAGCATCTTTGGGAGACTCTGTCTCATAAACAAAAATTAAGGTTCAGAGAGATTGCTCAGAGGGTAAAGACACTTGCCCCAGAAACAGACAACCTAAATCTAATCTGCAGGACTCACAAACCAAAAAGAGAGGACTAACTCCCACTAACTGTGGCATGCATGTGCCTGCACACACACACACACACACACACACACATACATACTATGGCACGCATGTGCCTGCACAAATACACACACACAAAATCAACTATATAAATAAAATGTTGTTCAGGAATGGTGATGCACACCTTTGATCCCAGCACAAGGAAACAGAGGTAGATAGATCGCTCTGATTTCGAGACCAGTCTGCTTTCCAAAGGGAGATTTATACTAGCAAGGCTGCACAGTGAGTCCTTGTCTCAAAACAATAGCAACCAAAATACACCTAAAAAATTTAATAAAGATAAGTAAATAAATGGGCCAGAGATGAGTTCAGTGGTAGAGTGCTTGGTCCTGTGTGAGGTCCTGGGTTCAATTCCCAGCACCATAAAAATAGAAAAGAAGCAACTAAATAAATGTTTGCTGAGTTTAGTGTCGGAGCTTCAGGGGCTTCTTAGACAGTAATGACTGGTGCACTGTGGCTGGAAATGTACTTAACTTTTTAAAAGATTTTCTTTACTTTTAACTATGCATCTTGGTGTGAGAGTGAGGCGTGTGGACGTGAGCCAGACACCAGTGGAGGCCGGAGAATGTCAGACCCTCGGGAGCTGGAGTTACAGGTGGCTGCAAACCATCTTCGGTGGGTGATGGGAACTGAACTCCAGCCCTCTGCAATTAACAACGAGCCATCTCTTTGGTCCCTTATTTAACCCTTTGACTTTATTAAGAAGCCTTCTTGCCCAGCAGTGGTCTAGAGGCCAGAGGAAGAAGGCACGGCCTCTGATAGGACGATGGTCTGCTTTTTCTGGAGCCTATTGGACACGATACATAGGTGGCACTGTTCTTGTCCAGCCGAGCTAAGTTATGTGTCTCCTCATGCACTAAGTGGCAGCTGTGTCTGTCTGAGCAATGTTGGGGGACGTGTTGTCAAACCAAATAAGCAAAGATGCCGGCTCTTCGGAGGGTGCTGCCTGGAGCCTTTCATTTGATGGCTCTTTGAACTTGACTTTCACACACAGATAACAGCTAAAAATTCCACAAAATGATGGGACTCGGTTTTGCCCATACCACACAAGGGACTTAAGAAGAAGAAATTACCTTGTTTTCTAGCTGTCTGGAAACCCAGAACCTGTCAAGAGACGTTGGCCCTTGCTGCAGAGGAGATGGGCCAGCTCTAGTCCAGAAAGTGTGTCCAGAGCAGGAGCAGCTGAGACTCCCCACAGCCTGCCCTGGTTTCCTGGTCTCAACAGCAGTAACTCATGCTTCGCTTGCCCACGCTATGTGGGGCTTCAATTTGTCAGTGTGGGACCTGAACCCTTAGAATTATGGCCGGGTCACCTATGAACACTGCTGGATCCAGGCTTGACCTTCGCACAAGGAGCTCAATGACATGCTGTTTAGAGGGGGATCCTGTTCAGGAAGCATGGGTTGAAGACACAAACTTGCCATTAAAGGTTCTGCTTTTGAGTCTTCCTGTCTCAGGGCAGAAAGAACAATCCAGAAGGGCCCAGGGGCATGGTCACTGGGGAGCCTCCTGTGAGGGCCTGCACCATCCTTGTGCACAGCCAGACCTGGATGGCATTTTCCCAGCCGGTTTTAAGTAAATATCTTGTCATAATATTTGTGCTAAGTTGCCATTTATGATTTTTTAAAGCTTTGACACTATCGCAAAAAGAAAGCTTTGGAGACAAGGCCAGCTTAGCCAAAAGGTCAGGACTAGAAAACCAAACATGGGCTCGGGCTGCCTTTGAGATGGCTTCTACCGGGTGATGGCAGCTCCTGCTGCCAAGAGAATATACTGCTGTGGTCACTGGCTATGGCCCTCCTCTGGGGCAGCCCCTGATGGAGGAGGACAGATGGCAGTATTGGTGGTTGGTTCTGGGTGAGACCAAGTACAGCACTGGGCAGTGAGGTGTGGGCCTGATAGAGCCCAGGGCTGCACCAATTCTACTTGTTCTTAATAATAAAATCTCAGAGTCAGCTCTCAGGGGGTGAAAGCCGAAGGATCTGAGAAGCAGAGCGGCAGCTACTAGAGTTCTTACCTTTGCCCGTGCTCAGACGAAAGGGGCGAGCCTCTTCTCAGACTGCGTCCCCAGACTGGCTGCTGCTCAGCTGACGGCTTCAGACTAGGGCTATTACTTCCTAACCCTGTCACCCCCACTTGCTCTGCTCATTTAACTGGTGCCCAGTGTCTGTCTCATCCGGGGAAGTTTTCAAGCCCACCTTACCTGCACAGTCGATGTGCAAACCATCAGTGCATATTTAGGTTTCCCTTCGGCAGAGAAAGGGGCTGAGGTTCAGGAAGGCAAAGACACTCGTCCAAATATTAAAGGTATGTTCAACCCCTGTAGCCCGCTGCACTGGTTTCTAGCAAGGGGACACAGTTGTTTCCTTTGAAGACCAAATGTTTGAACACTGCTTTTCATGTGTGAGGATTCCTTAGTGAGACAACCAACTTTTGTCCGAGCAGGCGAGACCAAAGCAGGTTGAGAGTATTAATTTGAGAGTCTCCCTGTTGGCTGAGCCTGGGTTTCAGGTCAAGTTTGGGTCCCTGGTTCATGTCCTGTCTCTCATCACCCACTCAGGTTTCCTACTTCCAACACAGCAGACGCAGCCAGCTAGGTCCATGCAGGACTGCATTCCGTGAGCCTTCCCTCCTGCCCTGGGACTCTGCAGGATCCAGTAGAAGTTGTCTGGAAGAAGAGCATAGGAGAAGGGCCAAGAGGGCTAAGTGGAGAAATAGAGGCAGCGGCTCTGGGGCAAGCAAGATAGCAGCAAGTCTGGAAGCTCTTACCAGGACCCCTGCCTGGGAGGACAAGATGCAGAGCCATTGTTCCTTTGGTCCACGACAAGGGAAGGGTCCCCTGGGACAGGCTGAGCTGGGCTGAGTGCACAGACGGCAATGTTTCCTGAAAGGATAGATACCTCTCTGTGTCACCCACAAACCTGCCCTGCCCCTCTAAGCCCTAAAGTGACCAAATCTAGGTGACAGAAGGACCCATCAAACCCGAGGGCAGCAGAAGATCACGGGATTGCTTGAGCCCCGATGGAGAGCTTGGGCTACTCTGCCTTCCTGCTCTCTGCTTTCCCTCACCCAACCCTGCACAGGCTAGAACCTCCCTGGGTGCTCATGGCACCCTGCAGGCACCCAGAAGGGAGGGCACCCAGCCAGCTGTACAAAGACCCTGCCATGCTAGGAGGGTGCCGCCTCTTTCTCCGCCTTCCCGAGTATACCCCCATGGCCTTGATGGAGTTGGAGGCGATATGGGGTTGCTTCCTTTTGGGGGTAGGAGAAGTTGGTACAAATGATGGGAGAAGAGAAGACTGTACTGCCCCGAGAGGTTGAAAGGAAAGGTCCAATATCCCCTCACTCTGCCGCACCACATAAGGAATCCTGGTTCTCTGAGGTGCTCATCCCATCCCAGGTTGTTCCCAGTAGCATTCAGGGGCGACCGTCAGTCAGTACCCGGGTGGGGAGGGGACAGTGGCTGGGGCCGCCTCTCTGCCTCTCCAACACCCTCCTCCACTGCTGGGCGCGCCGCGCAGCCGCCAGCTCAGTGGAGGCGCGAGGAGCCCCGCAGGCTCCGGCGCAGCAGGAGGTGTGCGAAGTCGGGGTGCGGGGAGAGCTCGAAGCAGAAGAGGGAGAACGAGGGTGAGCACGCTGAGCAGTCGTGCGTGCGCTCCGCTCTGCGCCACAGGATCGCCCAACGAAGCACAAGCCAGCAGGGTCGCGGTCCTGAGGACATTGCTGCCACTCAGGCGTGCAGAGAACCAACCACAGAATCTGGAGGTCGAAGCAGCCCCGAATCGGGGCAGTTTCGGGACTCGGAGGGTGCGGAGGAAAAGCGAAGCCAGAACGCAGATCCCAGACTCCGGAGGAGAAAGGGCAGTGGATCACGGTGCCGGCACGTCGCGAGCCCCAAAGCTCCCAGAATCGTCTGGATCGCGCGCTGCGCTTCGCAGCTGGACGGCACGCCCCCCTTAGCTTCCGCACCCTTCCCTCTGGGCGCCTCCTCACCTGACCCCGGAGGAACTTCCACCTGAAAAGGTACAGGACAAAGCCAGGTACCCGGCGCCCACCATGCGTCTCAACAGCTCCGTGCCGCAGGACGCTCCTGGCGAACCCGGAGCCCAACCCTTCCCGCGATCGCAGTCAGGACTGGAGGCCATGCTCCTGGCGCTCGGCTTGGGCAATGGCTCTGGAAACACCTCGGAATCTGTCCTGGCAGCGCCCAACAGCGACCTGGACGTGAACACTGACATCTATTCCAAGGTGCTGGTGACCACTGTATACCTGGCGCTCTTTGTGGTGGGCACTGTGGGCAACTCAGTGACAGCCTTCACCCTGGCGCGGAAGAAGTCACTACAGAGTCTGCAGAGCACTGTGCACTACCACCTGGGCAGCCTGGCGCTGTCCGACCTGCTCATCCTGTTGCTGGCCATGCCTGTGGAGCTGTACAACTTCATCTGGGTGCACCATCCCTGGGCCTTTGGGGATGCAGGCTGCCGTGGCTACTATTTCCTGCGCGATGCCTGCACCTATGCCACAGCCCTTAATGTAGCCAGCCTGAGTGTGGAGCGGTATTTGGCCATCTGCCATCCCTTCAAGGCCAAGACCCTCATGTCCCGCAGCCGCACCAAGAAGTTCATCAGTGCTATATGGCTAGCCTCGGGGCTGCTAGCTGTGCCGATGCTCTTCACCATGGGCCTAAAGAACCGCAGTGCGGATGGCCAGCACCCCGGCGGCCTGGTGTGCACACCCATTGTGGACACAGCCACCGTCAAGGTCGTCATCCAGGTAAGAGTGTCTAAGTGGGGACTCAGGGCGATGCCACGTTAGAGGGCACACCAGGGCAGTCACTGTTCCTATCTGCCTGCTTCTTTCCCATTCAGCAGTGTCGCCTCAGGAGCCCCAGTGAGTCAAGGTACCACCTGGGGAGACACAACAGTGGTGCCCTGAGGAAAGAACTGTACCCCAGCAGCACTTTCTCCTCCCTTGTCCCCACGTAGGCCCCGGTGACATCATCCTGAGTGCTGCACACTGAAAGAGCTCAGCCAGGGTGCTCCCAGGAGGTGCTCCCAGGAGGGAGGGAGGCAGAACCTCCAGCAGCACATCCTTCTTTCCTCAACTTTTCTCCCCCAGCTGCCTGCCCCACCCTCCTTCCTCCCCTCCTGCTGAAGAGGGCTTGAGCCTCAACAGGGACTTCCCTGTATCTAATGTAAGTCTGAAGGTACTCTTAGGAGAGAGGGCTGGCATCAACCTTTCAAGAGATTACAGGATTGTCTGACCCCCCCCCATATCTGGCCCCCCAGTGCCTTCTGGCTGCCTCTCCTGGACCCAAACCCAGGAGTTGGAGCCTTGGTCATATTCTTAGCTGAGTTGCAGTTTTCCCATCTGAGAAATGAGGTGATCATAACATTGAGGAGGTCCCTAGGGACCTGAGAGGGGGTCACAGGACCCCAGGGTGACAAAGCACTCGTAGGCAGTGCCCTTGTGACTGCTAGTGGTGATGTTCTTACAGAGCAGTCTAGAGTGTCTGGGTGTGGTAAGGCAAGGAAGTTCGAGGAGGATAGCCACAGGGGAAGCCAGAGCAGAAATAACACTTTAAGCCAGGCACGATAGTGCCAAACACTCCAGACTGGAGCAGGAGGCTTACAAGTTTGAGGCAAGCCTGGGCTACATAGTGAGACCCTGTCTGAAAAATAATTTTAAAAGAAAGAAAGAAAGAAAGAAAGAAAGAAAGAAAAGGGATGAAGGAAAGTTTTGAACAATTTCTTGACCCCAGTCCCTGGGCAACCGTGGAGGAACAGAGAGGGTTGCCCTTCACCCGAAATTGGGCAAAGAAGCCAGAGAATGGGAGGGTCTGCAGAGGGGCTCCTGCCATGTTAGAGGGGTCTCCATGGAAGCTAGCTGTCCCATACGTCTGTCACATTCCTCACCAGCCATCCACAGCCTCCCTCCCACAGTCTCCCACCAGGATTCCATAGTCACTTTGAAAGCCACATGGTCTGACCAGGTGCCACACAGAAACCAGCAATGCTGGGTGGGTTGTAATAGACCTTCAGACGCTGGGCAGTATTTAACTCAACAGATCATCTCTGATGTGGGCCATGGGACCAGAAACACACTTGTGCTACAAGTGTCTCTATACGGGGCCCCTCCTGAGATGCCACTCTTAGCAGGGTAAGTGCTCAGCTTCTCTCTCTATCAAGAGCCTGTGCGTTGAGACAAGCATGTTCCGTGTGGAAAACAGTGGCTAATCACAGGAGCTTCTTGCTCCCTTTGAGGCATGTTTCTTTCTTCAAGTTCCTGTCTTTGATCAACTTCGTAGGAATGGGGCTTCTCAGGCCATAGCGCCTGTGGGCGGCAACCTCTCCAACTGCAGGACCTCAGCAAGGGGGCAAATACACCCATCCACATTGCCCTTTCTGAGGTTCCTGCCAGACCCCTGGTGGAGCCACAGAACTTGAGACCTATGTGACAGTGTCTCCTACCTCCCAAAACTCAGATGTCTGTGGCTTGGCCTTGCTTGGCAGCGGGGCCGACTTAACAGGGTCCTAGTCACTGCCCATCAGCAATGCTTCCTGAGCACCCACGCTTGGTCAGGCTCCCTTCTGTAGCTGACATGGTGTTGGCCCGAGTGTTTACTAAGTGTCTGCTGGCTGCCTTCATGGCCCCAGAGAACAGGGCTTCCACTTTTCCTTAGAAGATTCGGGCTCATTCTTGGAGCGACGGATTACAGTGTGTTCTCCGTCCATCTGACGTTAACAGCTGACCAGGCCGCTCTGGCTGGGAACACAACTCTTCTGGGTACTTGATGAGATCATTCCTCATCAGAGGCCTGGACCCTCTCCCTTCTCCTGCACCACTATCTACCATCTGAAGATGTGTTTTGCTTCCTGGGGTTGTGGGGTTTGTGGTATCCCCCAGGATGTCTGAGTACCTGAAGCAGAGCTGAGTGCATAGCCCCTGCTCCACTGAGTGTCCCCTGTCAGGGCTGGCCATCCCATGTCTCCATTGTCATGACCATATTTGGAAGTATGGATGCGCTGGCCTCTTTGCAAAACAGGGACATCCCCCTGCCTTAGCGCCTTCTGTGAGGACCGGCTACTCTGCACACTTTAAGGATTCCATCTTAAGCACTTGTAAATAGAAATTATTCAAAAATGAGCCGAAAGTTAGGTGGCAAACCTGAGCAATGAGAACAGTTACTGTTTGGAGATCAGGTGTTTGGAGGTATTAACAGGATGGATGGGGCTGGGCAGGCAGTGGGAGAAGCAAAAAAGCAGGAGAAGCCTGGTGCCCAGTTTCTCCCAAAGGCTCGAGACCTGGTTCCTACACCAGGGACAGGAGGAAGAGTTGGAGACTTGGGGACTTCATGGTGCCCAAGGGTTCCCCAAGACTGCCCAATCCTGAGCCCTATGTGGCCCTGATACCACCCAGGCCAGCTTCTCGCTCTGACCTGTAACTGTCCTGCTCCTGCTGCCCGCTCTGACCCGCTCTATAACTGTCTTATAGTTCTCTGTTGCTGACCTTGAAGCCTGTACCCCAGACTACAGCTTATCTAGGTCCTGTGTCTGTATGTCCAGGGACCAGACATGTTCTGAATGTGAACACGTGGGGAAGAAGTGTGAGCCCATGGACTCTGTCCACCCTCAATCCACCATCCTCTCAGTTATCCTTGGACTGCCCTTTTCCGGTGAAAATGGAAGTATTTCTCTCGTAGTTGGACCTAACTTTAGATGCCGCAGCAGCGCTGGGTAGGGTATGTTTTCCTTCCCAGGGAGAGAAGAGGCTACAATCCATACAGAGAGGAGCGGTGCCTGCAGCTGCTGCCTCACGTCTACAGCAGATCAATTGCAAGGTAGCATGGTGAGCACCCAGACAGCTCAGGGGTGACCAGGAAAGGAGAATCACTTTCACTCCACAAAGAAGAAAATTGGTTCCAATAGTTTACAGAAACGCAGTCTGGGCGAAAGGTCACAGGGGTGTGTGGGTGAAGCAATAGTAAGAATTGAGTATTGATCTCCTTTGTTTATATTTACAGTGTTTCATGATCAAAGTTTGCTTTTTAATTGCTCTATGTGTGTATGTGCTCGTGTGTGTGCACGCGCGTGCACATGCACATGTGTTTGCACACACTCAAGTGAAGGTACACACATGTGGAGCTCAGAAATACCTTTAGGAGTCCATTCTCTCCTTCCACTGTGAGGCCTGGGTGTCAAACACAGCTTGTCAGGTGTGTGTGGGGAGCAGTTTTACCCAACTGAACAATCTTGCCATCCTGATGACTAAAAGAGTTTTTTGTTTGTTTTGTTTTTTGGGACAGGGTTTCTCTGTGTTGCTCTGGCTGTTCTGGAGCTTGCTGTGTAGACCAGGCTGGCCTCAAACTCATAGAGATCTGCCTGCCTGTCTTGGCCTCCAGAGTGCTAGGATTAAAGGTGTGTGTGGCCATGCCCAGACTGATAATTGAAGATGATGATGATGGTGATGATGGTGATGATGGTGATGATGATGGTGGTGATGATGATGGTGATGATGGTGGTGATGGTGATGATGATGGTGGTGATGATGATGGTGGTGATGATGGTGATGATGATGGTGGTGATGATGGTGATGATGGTGATGATGATGGTGGTGATGATGGTGATGATGGTGATGATGATGGTGGTGATGATGGTGATGATGATGGTGGTGGTTATGGTTATGCATATGTGAGGTTGCATGTGGCTGTACCCTGGAGCTGGACTTGCAGGACTGCGAGCCATCTAATGTGGGTGCTGGGAACCAAACTTCAGTCCTTTGGAAGAGCAGGAAGCATTCTTAATCACTGAGCCATCTCTCCAGCCTCTGACCAAAGCTTTTAAAGGCCCAACATGCTATATATTGTTGGATATAGTGGTACATATCCATAATCTCGGTTCTCAGGAGACTAAGACTGGGCTATATAGTAAAACCTGGTCAGAGAGGACTTGGGGGTGGGGTAGGGTAGAACTTGGTTTATGAAATTGGTGTTCAGACTATAGACTGTAACTGAGCATCCTGGGTAAGATTCTGGGGCTCTGAGGAGCAAGGAAGACTGAGACGGTCTTTCAGGAGGAGGTAACACTCACATTGGAACAGGGTGACCTGGCCTTGTTGCTGGCCTGGCCTAGCAAGGCAGGACATGAAGAATGAAGACATGCAGGCAATCCAGTGGGGTCCGTACTGGGACCTTGCTTCTCAGAAAACAATGGGAGTAGGGCCATATATCCATGTTAATCAGGTGGCTTGAGAGAGCACTTGTCCAATGTGATCATCTGACTGTCAAGGGTCAATGTCTCTGGTAGATGAGCGGAGAGAAGGGAACATGAGTCCTGGGGAAGGAGCCTGCTCCACGGCAGCTCAGAGGCTGCACATGTCGCTCCTGTAGTATCCGGGTGCTGGGCTCTTAGGCCTCGTTCACCCTCAAGGCCTTCATCTGCCACCCTGTTGCGGGGTGTCAAAGGCAGTGAGGGTGTCCTCTGAGAAGAACCTCATGTCATAGTCTCAATATGTTGTCCTGGGCGGCAGAGACCTGTTGATGGAGTCTAATAATGTGACAGAGATGCTCCCATGGTCACGTTCAAACAGTGAGGTCTCTGGGTCAACCTGGCTTGGAGGGCTCTGCCATCATATCAGACTGCACCACAGGGCTGAAGGTCTGTCTATCTGTCTGCACTTCCTGAACCATAATTATACAACCTTGTATTCTTTTTTAGCTGTTTGTGTTTAAGGGGAGGAGAGATTCTCAAACCCTTTCTTCCCCACATTGCTAT